AAAAAAGACTTGATATGTACATGAGACCAGACTTGGTATGTACAAGAGAGACCAGACTTGGTATGTACATGAGACCAGACTTGGTATGTACAGGAGACCAGACTTGGTATCTACAAGAGAGACCAGACTTGGTATGTACAGGAGACCAGACTTTGTATCTACAAGAGACCAGACTTGGTATGTACAAGAGACCAGACTTGGTATGTACAGGAGACCAGACTTGGTATGTACATGAGACCAGATTTGGTATGTACATGAGACCAGACTTGGTATGTACAAGAGAGACCAGACTTGGTATGTACAAGAGACCAGACTTGGTATGTACAAGAGACCAGACTTGGTATGTACAGGAGACCAGACTTGGTATGTACATGAGACCAGATTTGGTATGTACAAGAGAAAAAAGACTTGATATGTACATGAGACCAGACTTGGTATGTACAAGAGAGACCAGACTTGGTATGTAAATGAGACCAGACTTGGTATGTACAAGAGAGACCAGACTTGGTATGTACAAGAGACCAGACTTGGTATGTACATGAGACCAGACTTGGTATGTACAATAGACCAGACTTGGTATGTAAATGAGACCAGACTTGGTATGTACAGGAGACCAGACTTGGTATGTACATGAGACCAGACTTGGTATGTACAAGAGAGACAAGACTTGGTATGTGCATGAGACCAGACTTGGTGTGTACAAGTGAGACCAGACTTGGTATGTGCAAGAGAGACCAGACTTGGTATGTACAAGAGACCAGACTTGGTATGTACAAGAGACCAGACTTGGTATGTACAAGAGACCAGACTTGGTATGTACATGAGACCAGACTTGGTATGTACAGGAGACCAGACTTGGTATGTACATGAGACCAGATTTGGCATGTACAAGAGAAAAAAGACTTGATATGTACATGAGACCAGACTTGGTATGTACAAGAGAGACCAGACTTGGTATGTACATGAGACCAGACTTGGTATGTACAGGAGACCAGACTTGGTATCTACAAGAGAGACCAGACTTGGTATGTAAATGAGACCAGACTTTGTATCTACAAGAGACCAGACTTGGTATGTACAAGAGACCAGACTTGGTATGTACAGGAGACCAGACTTGGTATGTACATGAGACCAGATTTGGTATGTACATGAGACCAGACTTGGTATGTACAAGAGAGACCAGACTTGGTATGTACAAGAGACCAGACTTGGTATGTACAAGAGACCAGACTTGGTATGTACAGGAGACCAGACTTGGTATGTACATGAGACCAGATTTGGTATGTACAAGAGAAAAAAGACTTGATATGTACATGAGACCAGACTTGGTATGTACAAGAGAGACCAGACTTGGTATGTAAATGAGACCAGACTTGGTATGTACAAGAGAGACCAGACTTGGTATGTACAAGAGACCAGACTTGGTATGTACAAGAGACCAGACTTGGTATGTACAATAGACCAGACTTGGTATGTAAATGAGACCAGACTTGGTATGTACAGGAGACCAGACTTGGTATGTACATGAGACCAGACTTGGTATGTACAAGAGAGACCAGACTTGGTATGTACAAGAGACCAGACTTGGTATGTACAGGAGACCAGACTTGGTATGTACATGAGACCAGATTTGGTATGTACATGAGACCAGACTTGGTATGTACAAGAGAGACCAGACTTGGTATGTACAAGAGACCAGACTTGGTATGTACAAGAGACCAGACTTGGTATGTACAGGAGACCAGACTTGGTATGTACATGAGACCAGATTTGGTATGTACAAGAGAAAAAAGACTTGATATGTACATGAGACCAGACTTGGTATGTACAAGAGAGACCAGACTTGGTATGTAAATGAGACCAGACTTGGTATGTACAAGAGAGACCAGACTTGGTATGTACAAGAGACCAGACTTGGTATGTACATGAGACCAGACTTGGTATGTACAATAGACCAGACTTGGTATGTAAATGAGACCAGACTTGGTATGTACAGGAGACCAGACTTGGTATGTAAATGAGACCAGACTTGGTATGTACAGGAGACCAGACTTGGTATGTACATGAGACCAGACTTGGTATGTACATGAGACCAGACTTGGTATGTGCATGAGACCAGACTTGGTGTGTACAAGTGAGACCAGACTTGGTATGTGCAAGAGAGACCAGACTTGGTATGTACATGAGACCAGACTTGGTATGTACATGAGACCAGACTTGGTATGTACAAGAGAGACCAGACTTGGTATGTACAGGAGACCAGACTTGGTATGTACAGGAGATCAGACTTGGTATGTACAGGAGACCAGACTTGGTATGTACAAGAGACCAGACTTGGTATGTACAGGAGACCAGACTTGGTATGTACAGGAGACCAGACTTGGTATGTACATGAGACCAGACTTGGTGTGTACAGGCCGCCAAAATACAGCTGACATATTTGTGACAATAAAGTAAACAATAAAGAAACAAACAAATCTGACAAAAGTATGTATTGGTAACTAATAATAATTTAATATACATGGTTAAAGTGCTGAAAAGATTACTTCTGTGTTTCCACTGACATTATCCGGACTGTCATATGTTTGAGAGAAGCTGTCCAATTCGCCTGCGAACCTACGCCTATGTTGACACCTGTACACTATACACTTTCGCATGCACCAGTTAACACATGTATGGACATTCATGAATATGCATATATCTACATCCCATTAGGGATTGACATTTGATATTTCCGAGGGGAGGGGAGGGGGGCTGGGATTTTGTACCGAGATTAGACATAATTTATATCACACCAGATATTATTTTCTATACTACTATATGTATATGTCTATAAGCTTGAATTGGTTAGTTACAAAAAAACACCATGTAACAATGTAAATTTCAACAGTCTGAAACATAATTATTTTTTTCAAGATTTTTGGGGGTCAATTTCTATTTTTCTATAAAATTCCGGGGACCCCCAGGATATCAAATGCTCGGTCCTTTACGTGTAGATAAATTTACACCATGCTCGGGATCAGATTAAATCAATAGAAAGTGTAAGTATAAATTTGCTTGTTTGTACATTGACGTTATATTCAAGAGACAGGCGAGTCCTGATCGTCCGATTAGGGAGTCTGTAGTGGTGTATGGATTCGTCAAGCGGAGGTAAGCTTAACTCACCCACTCACTTCATCCAGACTTGATATCAAGTTACTCCTTTAACCATATGTGTAAATAGGTTACCATGATGAGTGCAGGCATGGCAAGTGTACATTTACGTTTATATATCGATTTGCACACATTTACGTATTAGACGAGGGCTGAGGGACTAGTCATTTATTAGGGGGTGGTTGGGAAAGGGCGGCTGTCTTGGTCCTAGGACTGTATCATATTTTCTGACCCCTCATTTTATGTAATATTTTTTTCTCCTTGTTCCTTATACGATAAGAATATAAAATATTAATTGTGTTGGCAATGTAACAGGCTGGTTGGTTTGTGTCTTAAGTGTCAAGTTGGACTTGCCTCGCGTCCAATTAACGTTTTAATGCCAAACAAAACAACCCCTGCCAAATGGCATTTAACAGTTGTGGGGAACTGGCAATTAAATAACAGTTAGCGCAGTACGATATTACACAAGTATGGACTCCTAGAAGGGACATTTTCACATTGTCGCATTTTCGCATTTGCGGCCTTACAACCAAGCAAACAGTGACAACATTAACTAGTGCGACAGGGGTGTATGCGTCCATGGAGGTTGGACGTACGTAGTGTTAACAAAACCAAGTCCTTGGACATCGAATCCTAAAAACCGTTCTTGGAACCCTATGCTATTTCATTAAACTGTTTACTTTTTATTCTTACTGGTAGTTCATTGTTGTTTTTTAGGATTGCATTTAACAAAATGAATTTACTTTTGATTTATTTTGTCATGAAGGACGAGTGGGGCTTGACCCCCAAAACGCGACCAAGATTGGACTCCGATTCTTCAATAGGGTTATGACCCAGGATGTCACCCTCGTGAGTGATCGATCACCCAACCACGGGTCTAATCTTATACTCATATTCCAGCTATATGACGACGGTCTATAAATAATCATGTCTCTACATGACAATCCAGTGATTGACATCATGAGCATCCTTCCAGGCAATTGAGAGACGATGATATGCAGTCAACCAAGTCACCGAGCCTGACCACCCGATCCATTTGGTCGCCTCTTAAGACAAGCAATGGTTGATGGGGACCTATACACGGGGTTCGTGTTGCTTAGGGGGCGGTGGGGTAGCCAAGTGGTTAAAGCGTTCGCTCGTCACGCTGAAGACCCAGGTTCGATTCCCTACATGGGCACAATGTGTGAAGCCCATTTCTGGTGTCCCCGACCGTGATATTGCTGGAATATTGCTAAAAGCGGTGTAAAACCACAATCACTCACACTCGCGTTGCTAAGAATGAATGAGCATATTTTTTGCAATATTCCAGCAATATCAAAGCGGGAGACACCAGAAATGGGCTTTATTGTACCCATGTTGGAAATCGAACCCAGGTCAAGGCGTGATGAGCGAACGCTTTAACCACTAGGCTACCCTACCGCCCCTCCTGTTGCTAAGAGAAGGATGGTGATGTTTGTGGGGCTACCTTTGTAGCGCTATCTTTGGAGGAAAAAACCTCTTCCATTAACAAAGGCACTTTTATTTAACAGAACCCCTTGTCTGCTCCCCAAGACCATACATGCAATTGGGTAGCCTTGTGGTTAAAGCGATTGCTTGTCACGTTGAAGGCGGTTCGATTCCTCACACAGCTCAGAAGTGTAAAATCCATTCCGCCATGACATGCTGAAAAAACCCAGCATGGTTCATTATTCAGATAAACAATAAAAATCTCTTTTATTACCCAAGTTTTCCAGAGCAAGTAAGAACCTCATTTGCATATCAAAGGCATACGTATTACAGCTGGCAAAATTATCCATGAAAAAAGGTCACGTGATGTAGCAGATGTTGTAACCTAGATTTGCTGCGTTTGTCAAACAGTGTATACATGGTTGTATTGTCAGCTGCGAACATAACATTGCAGTCTGTCAGTTGAAGGTGTTCAGAAGGGTATGCCACTGTCTGACACGTGGAGGTATGGTAACTGAGCATTATCCTAGAGGATCGGAGTCTCTGTTTACTGAGGACGAGTGAACAAGAACAGCGACAAGGTCAACCGTAGAACAGTAGGTATCATACTCTTCGATATACATCACTGAAGTCTCTGATGGCGTTTGTGTTATTGAATACCCCTTTCTCCTTCGCCTCCACTCTGTCTCTCTCTCTGTCTCTCGTTTTGTCATTCTTCCCACATACCCACTCCCCCACCCACCCACCCCCACCTCACACACACACACCTTCGACCTACTTCTGTTTCACCCTGCCTCTTGTCTCTCCTGTCTTTGACTCCGTCCTCTCTTTCCGTAAATAAATACTCCTTTATCCTTCCCTACTCTCTCTCTCTCTCTCTCTCTCTCTCTCTCTCTCTCTCTCTCTCTGTGTCTGTCTGTCTGTCAAACTGAAAGGCAGACGAATTTTGAAGAATACTTTGGAGAGTATTTGCCTCTCCTCAAATTAACAAGTCATTTAAATGTTAGTTTTACAATTTTAAGGCAGAAGTCGTATTAAACATTGTGTTCAGGGAGGTGAATGTGAAAGCGTCGCGTTCACTTGAGTGAGTGAGTTAAATTTTAACGTCACATCGACATTATTTCAGCTATATAGCGACGAGAACAAACTGACATAAACAACTGATTCATGAATACAAAGCTCTCTCTCTCTCACTCTCTCGCTCTGTCTCTCTCACCCTTTCTCACTCACTCGCTGTGTCTCTCGCTCTCTCTCCCCTCTCTCTCTCACTCGCTCTGTCTCTCTCTCGCTCTCTCGCTCTCTCGCTCTCTCTCTCTCTCTCTCGCTCTGTCTCTCTCACCCTTTCTCACTCACTCGCTGTGTCTCTCGCTCTCTCTCCCCTCTCTCTCTCACTCTCTCACTCGCTCTGTCTCTCTCTCGCTCTCTCACTCTCTCTCTCTCTCACTCCCTCTCTTTCTCTCATATGAAACCATTGCATCACTTGTATATTGAAGTATTTTGTGTTATATAGTGAAACAGGATAATATGTAATATACATGTAACGTCGTTACATCTTTTTTATGTCAGGCAGCGGGTTGTTTCGGCAAGCCCTTGTCCATCTGTGTGTAACGAATAACGTATACGAACAGTATAGTGGTGTGTCAGTTGGTTAGTGGGCGTTGATAACGTTACCGAAAACCTTGTCAGTGTTGTGTCAGATGGTTAGTGGGCGTTGACCTCGTTGAAGAAGACCTTTTGTCAGTGTTGTGTCAGACGGTAGGAAAACCTTATATCAAAATACTGGGAGCGTAGTTGAAGCAGTAGTAAGTGCAACAGTAATAGTAGGAGTTGTAGGAGTAATAGCATAGGTCGTAGGAGTAGTAGTAGTAGTAGTAGTAGCAGTAGTGGTCGTAGAGGTAGTAGCAGCAGTATTGGGGTCGGCGAGGCAGAAGAGAACCTTTTGTCAGTGTTGTGTCAGACGGTAGGAAAACCTTATATCAAATACTAGGAACGTAGTTGAAGCAGTAGTAAGTGCAATAGTAATAGTAGGAGTTGTAGGAGTAATAGCATAGGTCGTAGGAGTAGTAGTAGTAGTAGCAGTAGGAAGTCGTAGAGGTAGTAGCAGCAGTAGTAGGGGTAGTAGCACCATTGTGTTTATTCTAATCCACAATCCATCGTCTAAGGCGCTGTGCAGAGTTATGTCTCTTTGAGGTGAGGTGGGGTGAGGTGAAATGGGGTTTAACGTCGCGTCCAAGACTATTGCACTTATATAGCGACGTACATGTACGTGTTTGTCTAGCTGCTTGTACTAGTCCGGACTGATGCCGATTTGTAGTGCTAGCTCACTGAGATACCATGCCGCAGTTTAACATGAATACCCCACTCAGACACAGTATACTGACTCCGAGCCGACCAGTCCTTGTTTTAGCCCCTTAATGCCGAGCGCCAGACAAGTACAATCTTTTAACGTCTTTTGGTATGACGCGGCCGGGGATCGAACCCCGGACCTTCCGCTCTCCGGGCGGACACTCTACCACTAGACCACGGAGACGGTCATGTCTCTTTGAGCTCGTCAGAAACCTATGATCATGGGTTGGAATCCCGGTTCGCCGGGTTGGATTATGTTTCTTGGATTGTCAGCACCATACCTGTGCTCGTGGGTTTTACCGAAGTGGTTAACGTTTGACACCTGCATCACTTTGGGCTTTCCTCCGTCATAAAGCTGACACGCCGTGGTGTAACTGAAATGGTGTTCAAAGCGGCGTTAAACCAAACCCACTCACTGTCCATAATATAATGCAACCCCGTTAATCCGTACAGGCACATTTATGTGAAATCGTCCCGATTAACACCTTTCCAAATTATCGAATCATTGGTCCACAGTAGTGTCCCTTTTATTGTATGTACATGTTCCAAACATTAATCATGTGGATTGCGGGGTTTTCGGGCAAACACGATTATATTCTGGGCAGACCATCATGGTACGTTTTAATGTGGACTATATGTCCATGTACATCCCTGTCCCTGTTACTTATATGGTTGATACAAGTACATTACTATCGATTACGTGTGTGTGCGTGCGTGCGTGCGTGCGTGCGTGCGTGCGTGCGTGCGTGTGTGTGTGTTCGGAGTAATGCCGATATTTAAGTTCTAGCCCACTGAGAAACCATGCCCCAGTTTAACATGAACACGCCACTCAGACCAGTCCTTGTTTTAGCCCCTTAATGCAGAGCGCCAGGCAGGGTGACAACAAGTACCATCTGTTTAACGTCATCTGGTATGACGCGACTTTCCGTTCTACCACTAGACCACGGAGGCGGTCACGATTACGTACGTGTGACTATTGACAAGTAGAGATTGCTGCAGAGCATCAACTGTTCCCCGCCGTATAATGTCATATGCAGAGGAAGGAAATGTAAGCAATGGGAGGAGGGGATTGGTGTAAAGTTAAAATTGTTTGTTGTTGACGTAGTTATGTTTCGAAAGCACCATAAAGAAACAGTGTCTTTAAATGATCAGGAAAACCAAGTCAAGAAAACACATAACTGGGCCTGTCAGGCAGAACTTGGTATATACCCAATTTTAGTACCAATGATGATTTTTTTTAAATTGATTACAAGTCCTATATAGATAACATTACAAATGTGGTGGACATCTAAGACCTGCATCACATCGGGCTTTCCTCCCACATCAAGCTGACACGCCGTGATATAAGTGGAATACTATTCAAAGCGGCGATGAACAAAACTCACTCACTATCTCATTACCCTTGGGTACGGTTCCGTTTGGTTAACTGGCTTTGTGTTGTTACTTCCGGTTTAGCCAATGCTTAGAAGAATGTTACTATGTTCAACTCAAACATTGTGGATTTACCATGCAACCGTCATATGTTTATGAAGGCAATTGCAAACTACAGATCTAGACCAACCTATTGATTGCCTATTTATCCAGAAGCAAAGAACATATACGGGTTTATAATCTCTGCCGGAATATAACAAAAACTGTCAAAACAATAAACCATGCAGAACCCTAAACAGCTGCATGAAACGGTACATTACATACAGTGACCTACTTGAAACAATACTGTGCTCAACTACGCATTGCAAGCACCATACATATCATTATAAAGACAACTAATTACAAAATTCTCACATAAAAACCGGTTGTTCGACATGTGTTGTTACTTGAACAAAGTCATACTTTATAAAGCCTGGTATTTAATGGTGTTGAACAATTAGTTGCAATAGCAGTGTGAAGGGAGAAAGCTTGAGTGAGCGTTACAGGCTTGACATGAATTCCTACCTGGAACCTGTCTTGCTGACTGCGCCATACTACGCCTATAGCTCAAAGAGATAATCCCTCGATGCGCAAAGTTTATTCTTTATTCAAAATATAGACCGTTAACTTTAGAGAAAGAAGACGTATTTCCCCTAAAAAATTAGCTATTTTAAAAACAATATGAACAAATTGCGTGGATTATCTACATTGCGAAACATGACTAAGTCACAGAATACGACAGGCGACTGGTTAAAACATGTCCATGTCACTCTCATTTTATTTTAAAAACTCCAAATTTGTTTAGAGAAACCAAAACGGCGCTCTCCTGCAGTCAAAAACAAATTAACCTTAATACTTAACCCATATACTTAATTGTATTGACACAGTTTTTATTTTAAACAGTATCACATCATACAAATACCTATGCTCATACATGCAGAAGCTATTATATGTTATCATAATATATATAGTACGGGCATTTGATAATGGCTTTCATGTGACATAGTCTCTGTTGTTGAAAATAACCGTCAGCTGCGACAGCTGTCATTTCATCACTGATTGTCATTGATCCAAAATGGAAACATTGTACATCTTGACATATGGATGAAAACTATTCATATATTTGCCTTGATAATTGTAATATGAGCCAAAATACATTATGCATATTAAGATAAAGCGATATAAATATATTTTTAAATATTCACAATATTCTCCGTTTTTATCTGTTTTAAATATGTTGGCTAGACTTGAAAATGTCCTCAACATGTCTACCACAACACTCCCCGACAGCCCCACCACGGCCCTGAAAGCAGAAAACCTGATCAAGCACGACCCGAGCAAGAATATTGTGATGCACTTTAAAATCTTCGAAGAAAGAGCACGCTCGATTGTACATGCAAAGTTGTGAAATGTAGACGTACATATGACATTTGCTTTCATTTTTAGCAAATTGTCCTGAACCTTGAAGATAGGGATGTAACTATATGTGGATACCACATGGCCAATTACCCATAGAATGGCATTTTCCGATGTTTGTCGTGAGGGATAGTAGTATATAGAGTGAAGTGCTTTGACATAATCAACATGGTTGTTATTCTGAGATTGCAAAACTTGAAGCAGATCCCTTGCGTTATTGAGAGGCCCATGGTATTAAGTCTGCTTGTCTCAAATACTTTCTGTAAATATGAAAAAAGCACTCCCTTCATTGTACCAGGATTACGGTTAATCTTTAAGATATGCATTTGGTGCAATGGATCTATCTTTTTACCGATTTTTATGGTTCTTTGGAACCGAGTAGAGAAGAGGAATGGAGATGCAGAGGTTGATAGTACTGATTGGT